ACATGTTTGTTATTTTAAGTTGAGTCAAAATGCCCATGTCGTCCCAATTGCAAATCACCTGCCACCAAACTGGCCAAATTTGCATATTTATTTATGGGTGGTGATTTTCCCACTCCCATTTTATCAACTTATACTCTCTTTTTGTTTTTTTTAATAGTTTTTACTATAACAAAAAAGGGAGTGTAAGTGGATAAAAGAGGAGTGAGAACATACAATTTCTAACAAAAGGAGTGTAAGTGGATAAAAGATGAGTGGGAAAATCAGCTCTCTTATTTATTAGGTTCAAAATATGAGGTAAAAATAAATAGGAGTTAATATAATGATTCACATGGGAAAGCTTCGCATAATTTTTTTTTTTTAAAAGGACAATGAGAACTAGTGATGCAGCCCAGAAAAAAAAAAAAAAAAAAAAAAAAAAAACACAACTGACAAAGGATGAAATATTAAGAATAAAGAGTTACTTAAAACATGTAAAAAGATACATCTAGTTTAGGATTAGTATTAGGGTGTTGTGTGATAGAGTGTATTAGGGTATACCAGGGGTATTTTTGGTAGTTAAATAAGATGTACTTAGTTAATTTTACATTTTGATTAAAATATTAGGGTATACTTAGATAATAGGGTATACTCAGTTAATTTTAGAGTTTGTTTAGCAGCACTCTATTTAATATACTTTTTTCTCTATAATATTGGTAGCTTGAGACAAATTTTCTATGTCATGGGAGAATGCTCGGTTGGTGTAGATGGTGGCAAGTAGAAGGTAATGGTGAAGTTTTGCAGGATATTAATTGAGAGGAGAGAAAATGATTAGAAAACAAAAGGAGGAAAGATAATTGAATGCTTTTCAGAATTATCATAACTAATAAATAAAAATGAAATTTACTTAGCGTAAGAGATTAATTTAATTTAAGTAATTATTGAAACCTAATCTCAACCATTCAGTCCATTCTAATCTAATGGTTGAAAATTTGTGTCCTAATTCGTGCAAAAAAGATAATGCCATTGATCCGCCCATATGCATACTTGAAAATCTAAATAAGCTTTACTACAATTACATGATAGTACAAGATAGCAGTCAACATACTACTATTACATAACTCATAGTCAAGCATAAGGTAATTAGCCAAATTCCGAATCCAGCACCACACAAGTCTAAACCATAGACACAAGTAAAAAAACGTAAAGCATAATGTAGGTGCTTCCAGCTCATTCCTTAGCCATTTCCCTCTTAATCCATTTGAGCTTGGCTTTAGGATCTTTCAATTTACAAAAGATCTTCATCTTCTTTTCACATGAAACCAACCCTTTCGCAAACCACCACATCTTGTCCTGATCATGTCTCTTCTGATCATATTCCAGATCATCCAGATCAACTTCCTGATCATCTTCATAAAAAATTAATTGTTCAAGTTCCAAGATCACTTTCTGAATTGATGTTTCAGGAAGCCTACAAGGAAGTACTTCAACAATTCCTCCATCCTTGTCATCTTCCTTACCTTGTCTTCTCTTTTTCTTCATCCCAGATGGACTTTACGTACCTTGAGCAGCGAGTACACAAGATGAGAAAATTGAACAATAAGGTCGGTTAGTAACTTGTTATATCATTCATCCATGTATCAGAAAGATAGAAATAATAGCATATATAAAGATCATTAGCAACATCTTTTCCAAGTACACTTATGTTGCTCACTTTTAAGTGACTCTGCAGACTAGTACTTGTCTCTCCTTGCAGCCACAAAGACAACTCAAGAAATTTTATTGAACAATAACAAAGACTCTTCTAGATAATCAAAATAGGCCAAACCCTAATGATCTTTTGGCATATATTTGTGGAGAAATTATTGTAAGATGACTATGTTGTAAACAGTATTGTTATGTAATGTTACTGATACATATGTTAAAATATGAATAGATGTCGAGTACAATATTAAAAAGATGTACATGTGTTATAACATAATAGATCGATAAAAATATGTGATTATGTTAAAAGTAAGTATATCTCTCCTATGTAAGAGTTTCATTTCTCCTTGTGAGAGTTATATTTTGTTGTTCTTGTTTGTTCATGGTAATTTGCTTTTCCAAATTTTGGCTCATATATCCTTCCTTATTCCATCTGCATCTCTTCTCCCACTTCACTTCAACCATCACACCTCTCTCACATCCTTCTCCTTATCCTCTCCCCTCCTCACTCACACATTAGTTCTTTCCTCTCCCTCTCCCATGAGATCTGAAACCCTAAAATCCTTCTCTTTTCCTATGATTTTCTTGGTCGTCTAATGACTTGATGCAAATGCTTCTCCCCTACAACCCATCCTCATATATGAGCTTTTGCTATGGAACTATGGGCTCTGTAACTTATGGGTCAATTTTGACCCCAATTTGATCGCTTGAGTAAGATGACTATTGGTGGCTTTCTCACCCAAACCCATGCCCTACATAATGCAAATCACATTTGTTGGTTCCTCTAGACCTTCTTCTATGGCGACACTGGCGACTTATTGTTTGTAGAATATGATTCTAGGCTTTATGTATTTTTTGGCTTGTATTTTGTACTTGGAGTTGGGCTTTTATTTATTTATTAATTATTTTTATAGCCCTTGTTTTTCTTTTTATGACTTTGTATTGGGCTTTTTATAATCTCTGTTTGATAATGACATGTTCATTATTTCGACCAAAAAAAATACGTGACTCTGTTGCAATATGAATATATTTATCTTCTTTTTACATATTAGAAAATTTTACTAACATAAGGACAAAACTTAGGAGGGAGATACTACTCCTCCTGTAACCTCTACCTATTATTAGTTAGCAATAGTAAAAATTTAGAAGAAACAGGCAACTATCATGATGTTAGTTACAATTTGTTATCAATAATAGAAAAGCCATATACTATACAGTCAAGGGAACCAAATCCTCTAAGAGAACCCCGCCAAATTAATGAGTTTGTTTATGGCAGCTTGACCATTCTTGTACTAGTCTATCAATGACCATATAATGGGATCAACTTGGCATGCCAAAAGGGATTTCTCATAATTGAAAGTATGATTTTCCATAAAGTTCGGTTGAATAGGTGAAAGCGGTTTTTAGGATTAGAAAAAATATTTTAGTGTTTTCTAGTGAAGATGCTTTCAAGAAAACATTAATACAAGCGATATTGAAAAGAGAAGATAATCAAACTCCGGACGTCCTAGTAAAACTTTTTTTCTAACAAATTAGTTGATGAGCAAAACGCTTCGTATAGTAATTAAGTGTCTAATTATTAGATTAAGTCAGGTTATTACGTCAATAACTAATTAAGGTCTGATCCAAGACAGTGTGACTTTTTGAAGATGCAGCTTAGCATTTTGTTGCAACTTTTCCTAAGGAGTGGTCTTCTCCAACTATTTCTTGCCATTCTGCTTAGTTTGCCTTAAAGCAACCTATAGCTAACCAACTCATCCCTCTAGAATATTCTAATTTCAAAAATAAGTTGGAGTGTGCATCACCAACGGTTACTTATAAGAAAAGTTATCTTCTATATTCGACAATTTGATGCGTTGTGTTGTTTGATTGTAAAAGACCCATAGAGATAATATCCAAAGGGTGTGAAGTGAATCAAAGGATGAGACGAGACTGTTGACTCTTGAGGCCTCCCTTGTCTGTTATATTCTGTTATGTGATGTCGTGGTTGTGGGTATGCTCTGTTTCCCAATGCACAGCAAAAGACAAAAACAAACAAAGCAAAAAACCTGAAAGTGGGAAGGCACACAAATGGGTTATGTTTTTATATAGAAAAATTAGTTGCATAATCTTATTATTTTTAGCATGTAATGAGGTGAAATGAATATGCTATTGAAACGTAGTGGCAATTTTATTTGCCAGATGTATTGGTATTAATAAATTGGTAAACAAGTTGGTACTTGTAACGTTATTGTATATTCATTTGAAAACGTTAAAGCATTTTCCGTAATTTAATGAAATTGGTGTGTTTTTGGTAAAAACACAGCAATATAAACCATAATTTGCTCCAGACAAAGACCAAGATAGGCCAAAAACAAAACACACCCATAATTAAGGTAAGGGAGGAGGTGGACATGTATTATTTGTGCACCATTAATTCAATTATTCATCTTCCTCCTCATTTTCTCCTCTTTTTTGACCATTAATCTTTGTGCACCACTGAATTCTAGGCTGCCATGAATCTCTAGCGGGGTTCTCTGGTTGGGAAATTCAGAGCTCGATCTGCTGCATTTCATGGCCGTTCTTCTCTGAATTTCTGAGCTACCATCTCTAATCCCCTCAATGGAGGTAAACCCATCAATCTTTTATTCGAAATTTGTTTAAAGTTTTCATTATTTTCTTTGTGGCATTGAAATTTGATTGTTTTCATTTGTGTTTTGGCTTTGATTTGATTATTTAAGATCATTTGTTCAATAAGAATATGCAAATGGACGAATGGATATAATGGATGGATGAATATGAATGATGATATTTATGCACTTGATGTTATGCTGTGTGAAGGAGTTTTGATATGAAATTGGTTCTGAGTTAGAAGTAATGATTTTCCAAAATTTTCTCATGTTATTCATGTGAATTTGTTAGCCTTAGCCTTCGACTGCAAGTCTGCTAAAAGTATCCGTAATGCTTAGAATTAATGTAATATTGCATGAAATTGAACTAAAATGGTAAAATCTCACTTGCAATGGTGTGATTTAGTTCATTGCAATAGATGTAATTGCAATAGAAAGCGCTATGAGACCCACATGCCAATAAAAAATAGAAAAAAATACAGCAATTAATGTATTATGTTGTTAAAAGCATCCACAATGATTGTTCAATAATTCAATAAATTAATTTTTTTGGCATATATTGAATTGAACTGCAGATTATTGTATTTTTTTATTGCATTGAAACTATTCAACAATCATTACATTACGGATGCTACAAAGAATAACCGGTAATCTGAGTCGAACCGAGTTAAAAAAAAACTGTGTTGTCTACAAAAGTTAACTGAGGTTCGAAAACTGAACCGGACCGAACCGATTGGTTGCTGCACCTATTCTATTCTTGGAATAGAACCGGCCGCACCGAACAATACGATTTCCTTCCAACGCTAGGGTTGGTTGTCCCCAGCATCTCTCTCCTGTACCGTTCACGCTCTCTCTCCTCTACCTCTCCGTCTTCTCATCTGTGTGTCTCTCTCCTCCCTCCGTACTATCTGTCCCTGTCTGTCTGTCTGTCTATCTGTCTGTCTCTCTCTCTCCCCACGCTCGTCACGGTGCTGGTGGCTCTTGGGTCTTTCGTTGTCCGCGGCCTTCCACTAGAGAACACGAAATTTGGCCTTCCACCGGAGAACACGATGCTTCTCTGAATTTCATGGTCGTTCTTCTCTGAATTTCTTGACCACCCATCTCCAATCCCCTTAAATGGAGGTAAACCCATCAATATTTTTTCATTTGGAATTTTATTTAAGTTTTGATTTTGTTTTCATGTAGGATTGAAATTTGATGTTTTTCAAGTACGTTGTTGCTTTGATTTCAGTGTTCAGAATTTTTTTTTCTTTTTCACCCGGGTTATGTAAGAATATGCAAAATATGAATGATGATATTTATGTACTTGACTTAAAATGTTTTACTGTGTGAAGGAGTTTTAATATGAAATTGGTTCCGAGTTAGAAATAATGGTAATTGCCATAGGAAGTTTTTCTGCCGGTGGGCACAAAGCTAAAAGCTTGCTTTAATTTAACTACTAAACTACCTCGTGGATGTGTTAGAGTTTGTTTAATTTGTGAAATATCTACAGGCAATTTGTAATGTTTTTCCACTCTTTTGGAGTTACTTTGGTGCAAGACCTTCCAGAGCTGTTGTTAATCTCTGATACAGCTGTAAAAGATATAGTTTAGCTGTTTGAATTCTGCACCCTACATGAAACATTTGAAGGTTTCTGAAATATATATGAACCTTCACCTATCGGTTCAATTTCTTTGAGAAAAAAAAATCACTTTTCTATCAAAGAGAAAAAAAAAGGGAAGTAAGAAAATAAGTGATTTTGATTTGTGATGTTGATAATACAGTTTGTGAGCTTCTCCAATCTCAACGTTTAAGAGAATATAATTTATCATTTTAAGAAATGTTACTTTTTTAGATTTATCTCTTGAATGTGTTGTTTTCAACATATAGGAAAAAGAACTAGTGGAAGGCTAGAAAGGAGGTGGTTGTAGTGGTAAGCTAGGAAATGATACCTAAAAAATTAACGGTGGATGTGGTTCGATATAGAGCTACACAGTGTAAGCCTTGAGAGATCGTGTCACCAGCTTCAGATAGTTGGTTAAGGTTCACTGAGCTGGGGTTTATAATTTTGGCTACTCATTAGAATTTGTTAGCTTAGAGCATATCCAAGGGAAGAGGCAAAAGAGTAGGCAAACCTCATTTGCCTTGCCACATCAGCATTTTCATGCGCCAAGGGAAGAGGCAAATGGGTAGGCAAAATATACCTACTCTCCCCCAACAAGGCAATATTGCCTACTCCAAAGTGAAGAGGTATATTGGGCCCAACTGCTTTTTATAATAAAATACCATCTCCACTCTCTCAACTATTTTCTATAAAATATAATAAAAAATGTAAAGATAAAAATAAATAATATAATAATGGTTTGTAGACTTGCATTGCCTAGTCCCTTTGAGTGACCAACTTTTTTCATGAGGCAAATGGGTAGGCAACATGCCACCTAGGTTGTTATAGTACAATTTTGCCTATTTCATTTGCCTCTTCCCTTGGAGATGCTCTTAGCGTTCGGCTGTAAGTCTGTTAGTTAGGGGTGGGCACTGGAACCAAATAACTGATAAACCTAGTCAAAATAAAATTTGAAAAAAACTCTGTTGACTAAAAAAGTCAACTAATTCTGATTGGTTTCTGCACCAGTTCTATACTCTTGGAATAGAACTGGCCGCATTCCAATGGTAGGGTCTGTTTTTTCATTTTGAACATTTCTCTCAGCCTCTCTCTTTTGTACCTCTCCCTCTCCTCATCTGTCCACGTTCTCTCTCCTGTGCTCCTTTTCATTTGTGTGTGTGTGTGTGTGTGTGTCTCTCTCTCTCTCTCTCTCTCTCCATGTAAGTCACAGTGCTGATCGCACTTGGATCTTTCGTTGTCAGCGGCCTTCCACTGGAGAACACGGTGCTGGTGTCTTAGTCATGGTTGTACTTCTTGTATATGGTTTATTTATTGTTTAGTTGATATGAAAATGGAGTAGAGAAAGGGTTCAGGAAAGTTTGGTCATTGAAACATGGTTTATTTTTTGTTTGGTTACTGAGAAAATAAAGGAAAAGTTTAGATTTAAATTCATTTTGTCGACTCAACTCTTCTTGAAGCCCAAAGAAACAAAAAATAATAATTGGACTCAGATTTTTTTGTTCATAATCGAACTGAATCATATATATTTTTCGTTTTCGTTTTCAGTACTTATTTTACTTCTCATCAGTTTAGGACAGAGATTGGTCAACACTTTGAGAATGGATGCTTACTGTGTTTGGGGTTTAATTATGCTGCTTTTCATGAACCCAGTACTCTACTGGTCAATATTGATATTGTATTTTGTGTGTCAAAAGGTTCCAGATATGGAGGCAAAGAAGAGTGAAAGTCATATGATATCAGCTGCAGCATTTGTGGAAGGGGGAATACAAGAGGCTTGTGCTGAGGCCTGCAGCATATGCCTTGAGGAGTTTTGTGAAAGTGATCCTTCAGTGGTAACATATCAGAAGATACATTCCCCTTCTTTTTTTCCTGCTCATGCATGAGAATCTTACACATTTTCTTAATGTGTTTATCTTATTATATAGATGTACCTTCAACTCCATTTTGTGCCTTGCCTTGCAGGTGACTACGTGCAAGCATGAGTTTCACCTCCACTGCATCCTTGAATGGTATTACCACACTAAATTTCAAAATATTTAATCATTCTTTATTTTTCTGTTAAGTAATTATATTTATAATAAAAATCAATTATCATTTTAATTTTATTGAGTTGTAATTAATCTTTGATATACACTTATTTAAGCTAGTATGTTGCTGACCTCCATGGGAGGCTAGAGTGTCCACCAAGCAGTAAAATTTGTTTTTAGGGCTTGTACCACAATTTGATTTATGGGTGGCACTGGCAATTGCGCCACTCTTTATTAAAGGGGTCCAGTGACTTAGCTGATAAATTTAAAATAGGACTTCTTGAAGATATTATTTTGGATTTCATCTGCTTATGAGAGATCCACTTAATTGTTTTTTCTCCGTTCACTTTACATACTCTTTCTTGGTTTTATGAGAACATCCGTGTTCCAATCTTTTAGTTTTTCAGTACTCTATCTCTCCATCTCCCCAAACACACATGTTGACACACTTTCTCCACATGCGTTTACAAGGAATCCTTAGTTCATCAATAACTTTTTAAATTTGGAGTAAATTATCTGCACAGTTCTGTTCACTTTATAATATTATTTGGGAAAAGGTACAATGCTCTTAAAATCTAAACAAGGTTATACATATACATATAGGTGCCAGAGAAGCTCTCAGTGCCCCATGTGTTGGCAGGCCATTAGCTTGAAGGATTCTTGCAGGTTCGTTTTGCTGTTATTTAATTTTACATGTGTCGTAATTATTTACCTGGAGTTAACTCTGATGCATATATTGGCAGTCAAGAGTTACTTGAGGCAGTTGAACGGGAGAGGAGCTTTAGGAATACATCAAGAAATGCAACTATATTTCATCATCCCACCCTTGGCGATTTTGAATTTCAGCATGTCTAATATCTATCTTTCATCTCCTTTTTTTTTTCTTTTCTGGGAATAGTTCTTGGGTTCTTTAAAACATTGCAAGGCCTTGATCAAATGTTGACTCTCCAAAAAAAAAGAAAAAAAGAAAAAAAGAAAAGGCATTGAAGAAATTAGAACTATTAATTTAAAGATTTTGCAATCATGTTATTTAATGTGTTTATGCAATGCAATGCAGTTACCTGGGGGTACTAACAATGCTGAACTTGAAGAGCGTATAATCCAGCACTTGGCAGCTGCTGCTTCCATGGGAAGGGCCCACCACAATGGTAGAAGGGAAGGCCAGAGGAGCCGGTCATCTGCTCGTGGTCATCCACACTTTTCGGTGTTTTCTACTCATCCTAGTGCATCTCCTCTTGGTCCTGTTTCTACCCCAGGAGGGGACAGTGAACCTGCCGAAATAACTGTAGCAAGTCCGTCTACCCCACTTACATCAGATGGGGATGAATCATCACGAAGGAGTGCACATTTTCCTTCTGTTCAGACTGATGGAATTTCGCCCTCAGCATCTGGGTCTGTACGCACGCACAGAAATCGTCAAGGACTTTCCTCCAGTCACTGGTAGTAATCATTTTCTTATGTTGCATTTGTGTGATTGTGCAGATCGGTTTTGTGGTATGCACTGGTGTGATAGGTATTTTTATGACAATTTAGTATCTTTTTGTAGGAACTCTACTAGTCAATCCTCTCCATTGAATCAGGACCGAGCAGGACCATCAGACCTTCAGTCCATTTCAGAGTCTCTGAAATCTAAGTTTAATTCCATGTCAATGAGGTATGATACATGATGTAACCACTCTTCTATTTTGGACATCATCTGACTAGCTTAATCAGTGTGCATCTGTGTGTACCTATAGATTTGCTCTTTTACCATTTTCAATTGCTGTAAAGGTACAAGGAGTCGTTTTCAAGGAGTACAAGAGGATGGAAGGAGAGGCTGTTCTCACGTAGCACTTCTATGTCAGAACTCAGTTCTGAAGTTCGTAGAGAGGTCAATGCTGGAATCGCCACTGTATCACGTATGATGGAACGCCTTGAGACCAAAGATAATGGTAGAGCCCCCGAGGCTTCTGTAGCAAATCATACGGCAGATGGTTCTGCTGCAGATCAGAGCAACAACCCAAACAGTTTAGAGATTCATGGAGAAAACCGTTTGAGTGATAACAATAGGCCTGGTACTACTTGTCCCGCAGGTTCTTCTTCAAATTGATCTGTTATTAATTGTTTCAGCAATGCATCTGTCGTCAGCATTTCATAATTTAAGGTGAGTAGTGATGTTGATTTCAATTTTTATTATTCTGGTATCAAAGTAAACCACTCCATCAACTTTTCATGGGACCTTAAATCGATGAAGTGGTATTTAGTGTTTGAAATTTCGAATCTTTTTGCTTGATGTACTTTTACACCATTTCAGGTTGATCCACGTTGCCATTTCACAGGACATGGCATGCTGAGGATGAGATGCTTTGCGCTTCAGGCCGGAGTTTTAAGTATTCGGGTATGTGAAATTATCGTGATTGTGGTCTGAATTCAAATAAAGAAGAGGTCTTGACAGAAGAGCTTCCATCTGGACAGACATTTATAAATGGGTATATTTATGTGAATATGTTTATATGTAACCTTTAACATGTCTGGATGCTCTTGTAATGGCATTGATTTATTATGGATATACTGAGGAGAAATGTTATGGAAGCCTTTCTGAGTATACTTCCTGGTGGATATCAATCGGGCACTGAAATTTCAGTTCACACTCGTATCAGGACCGGCTATTTGCCATTGAACATTTAGGATAAACTTAACAAAAAATTATCTGAGATTTTTTGCCCTCCCTCTCTAAATAAAACTAAAATCTACACAACCCTTTGGTAAGGTGTGAAAATGCTTTTTATGTTCTATTGAACTGGAGTCATGTTCTCATGTTAAATTGTGAATCTGGCAACTACTCGACTTGATCAATGGTTTAGATTTATCGTTTAGCAGCATAAGTCTGGTAAGAGACCATTTCACTGAAGATGCATCTGTAAATTTCTCCGACCAACAAAAAAAAAGTGTAAATTTCAGCATGAGATTTTTAGTACTGACCTCCCTGTCCTGGGCTTTAAGAAGCTGTGAGTGGTCTTGAGCTATACAACATATCCCAGATGATATCACATCTCTCCTCTGAAGAGATTTAAATTTGAATTCTCAAATATGGAACAAAAGGGCTTTTTGGCTTTGCTTCAGTGTGTCCTAGTTTCCCTTTGGAAATGCCATATGTTTCTTTTTGAGTGAAATATTTCATTTCATGAAGAGATAATAAGCACAACGGAGCTTTATACAAGTGATATTGAACACAAGATCTTAGATGTATGAAGAAAATATCAGAACATGTTACGCGCAGAAGACATCTAAAGGCTGAAACCAAGAATCAAGAGTAATGATGTGGTTAGTCGTCCACACGAGTATGAATGTTTGAGGTTGCTCATGTGCCCGCGAGCGACTGAACTAATTCCAACCTGGAATGGAAGCCATGAAATCTGTTGGTTTTTTTTTGGGGGGGTAGCCAAATGTGGTAAACTGATGCAATTTGACCCATTGGGCTAATTACTTAATTCACCAAAAACACAGACTATAAAACAGTTTCAATGTCCCATTCCTACACCATACTCAGACAATGTCAAATGGAAATCACACACTCTGTTTCTTCTTCATTTTCTTATTAAAACGATTATTCGGACCAAGAAATTTCATTTTCATTCTTCATTTCTCAGTTTTCGTTATCATTAAAAAGGCACAATGGTCACTTTTTCACATGGAAATTTAGATGAAGACTTATTCCTAAAGTAAAGAGGAGGGATATAACCCTAATGACAACTCCACTGTCCCCTTCTTTTTGCTAAATCTTTAAGCCTCGTAAATATTTTTATTTTACTTTATCTCCAAAATACAAATTAATTATAATAAAAAACACATCAAAAGTTGGTGTATCGTTTTCCAACTGTGTGTTGAACAATAATTGGTAAATATAAAGAGTGATGTTCTACAAAAGCAGGGAAAAGTCGGGCATACGTACAATAATTAACCAAATAGTAAGCTTGTTCGATCACTTTCATGCTTCAAAAAGGTTGAAGGTTCTTTTCTAATTCCATTTGTCTTGCCTCTTCATAATTTGCAAAATTCCATCGTAGCTATTAATTTCGTATGTCTAATTCGAAATTACTACAATTTACCGATTAATTTCTTCATCTTTCCTTCAATAAGAACTTTTGACAAAATGAAAGTTCCTATCACAGTCGTTCTTATTTGCTGATCACGTGATCGATTATTAAAATAACATCATATACACTTGTCAAATATATACAACATAATATTGTCGGAAGGCCATTTAACCTAACCACCTTTCACATTACTTTTACCAAAATAATAAAAATCTTTTTGTTTTTGTTTTTACTTTTTTACCAATGTAGTTTCTAAAGTTCACGAGAGATTGTCACAACAAGTAGTTAAAAATTAAATTCCAAATACCGAAAAATGAGAAACCGTAAATAGATACTATATGCTAATGTGTGTTGAGCTGTATTGGGTTTATGTGGACACTGGAATTTTTGGAGAGCTGAGGCTGACAAGCAATCTGCCAGTGGACAAAACGTCGCCGTCCGGGAATTTAATAAGGAGGGAAAGTGAGCTCACGCGTTGCATTCGCGCTTTAGGGGTGACGTAAGGGGGTTGGGGTTTTGTAGCTTAGCGTAGAACTGAGGGCATTGTATGTGATTTTGTTCTTTGTTCGTAGGAAGGGAAAAAAACAAAGAAGACACCGACAGCTTGCCGTGAAGCCTTTTGAGCCTTTTGAGCCTTTTAAGCTAAAACAGCTGCCCCTTCGGCTTCACCTTTTGCACCAACTCACATGCACTTGACTGACTTGACTCCCAACTTATACCAACTTTTTCTGGATTAAACAAAGAAATACAAAATAAACTAATTCAGCACTTCAATTAAAACAGTCTTTAATTACCCCTCAAACAACCCTTACCCAAAACATTAAAAATGAGAGAGACGAGAAATTATTGTATGATACTAGAATATCGTCGCATAACAAGAAATGAATGAATACAGTTTTGTGTGCGGAGAAAAACTTCATGATATAAGAAAAAGCTTTCTTGAATTAAGCAAATATGTGTAGGGTATACATTTATTAGATTGTAAGTCAGGTACAATAACTAATATATAAACATTTAAATTGTAAATGACTTGTAAATTGGTTGGCATTTTCACCGACCTTAGGATAATTTTTTAACACGAGGCTTCGATGCTGCTTAGCCACATACAATGATAATTAATCTCCGTATCGTATCATACAGAGAAAAAAAGAAGAAGATATTTTTGTTCTTGTATTTAAATATTTTTTCTCAAGGGTAAAATGATTACAAAATGTTGTTTTATTAGAAAATGAGTAAGAAGAAAAGAAACACCTAAACATGAAAATTTGAAGTTGAATGCAATCCAACGTGATTAAAAGATACATGGACAGACAAAAGAGTTTATTTCTTGAAGTTGCCACGCAAGCAAACAGGGTATAGCTATAATGCATCAACCGACACAGTGAAAACTAAAATCCCAAAGAAGCCCGCCAAATGGCTCCACTATTTTGACAACTACCCTACATCTTTTCTTCCCCAACATTTTCTATAAATAACATTAATTGCATCAAAAGACAACAAAAACAAAACAAAAAAAGGAAAAGAATAAAAGAACATTTTCTGTAACGTAATAAAAATGGCGCGGCTTCAGCTTCAGGCTCAGTTTCACAGAAGAAGAAGAAGAAGAAGAAGAAGTATCTGAAGCCAAGCCTAACCCTAAGCTTAAGCCTACTACTCTCTCTGTAAGCAGGTGGCGAGTAGAGAGAGAGAGGGAGAGAGGAAGTCGCCGTGTGGTCCCCACCTCCAGCCTGTCGCAAAATTAACACATCTCTCGCTCACCTTTTTCTAAGCCTTTAATCCCACACAACTCTCTCCCAACCCTCTCTTCTTCTTCTTCTTCTTGTGTCTCCGCCTTCTTCCTCTCTTCATTTGCTTCCACGACCTCAAAACCCCACTTCGCCAGAAAACAAGTAAAAACGCAGCCCAAAGCTGAAATGAGCACCATGGATTCTCAGATCTATGGTCGCTCCATCTTCTTCCTAATCGTCTTCGCCATTGCTTCTCTCTCTACTTCCACGCTCGCCGCATTGCCCAACAACCCACAACCCAAATCTCACTCTCCAACAACATCATCGTCCTCTACGAAAGCGGCGGCAGCCACAACGACAGCGCAGATCAACTCCAATTCCGTCCTCGTCGCGCTCCTCGACTCGCATTACACTGAGCTCGCTGAGCTCGTCGAGAAGGCCCTCCTACTCCAGACCCTCGAGGAGGCCGTGGGCAACCACAACATCACCATCTTCGCCCCCAAAAATGAGGCTCTCGAGCGCCAGCTGGACCCCGAATTCAAGCGCTTCCTGCTCGAACCCGGCAACCTCAAGTCCCTCCAAACCCTCCTCATGTTCCACATTATCCCCAACCGCATCGGTTCCACCCAGTGGCCTCATCCCGGGTCGGGTCGTCACCACCAGACCCTCTGCAGCAGCCACGAGCGCCTCCACCTGGCCACCCACAAAAACGACAGCCGCAAATCGGTCAATTCCGCCCAGATCATCCGACCCGACGATGTTACCCGACCCGATGGCGTCATCCACGGCATCGAGCGCCTCCTGATCCCGCGCTCCGTCGAGGACGACTTCAACCGGAGGCGGAATCTCCGCACCATATCCGCCATTCTACCGGAGGGAGCTCCCGAGGTCGACCCGAGAACCCACCGTCTGAAAAAACCAGCAGCTCCGGTTCCAGCCGGGGCTCCGCCAGTTCTACCCCTTTACGACGCGCTAGCGC